AAGCATAGATTATACAAAAAAAGTGCAGATGACAGTACAGGTATGTAAACAACGAATAGCATACCAATAACCACTATATATGCAATATAAAGTGCTCATGAAAGAAACCCATAAACCAATATAAAAACAGGCATACTGACCCAAGAGCAGGAGACAACAGGACCCCAACGTTTCGGCATCGGCAACACAGCCTTCCTCAGGGGGAATGTCTAACTCAGTGGTCTCTGTTCCTACTAATATACCCTGGAAATTACCCATGGGTTAATTACCCTTATTTAGAACATGTGTGGAGAACGAAGGAATAATGTCAGATTATCAATGAAGTCTGAATCAAATGCCTTCCGGGTTCATACGATGTCACCACGTTCGCGTGACGTCAGACTCATTCCAACGCATGAGATCAACATGTAACATGAAGCTGAGTAACTTCCGGATTTGTCTGATGTCCAACGCCATCACGTTCTCGTGACGTCAGACGCAATTAAGAGTACGAGATTGTCGTGTAAACTCTATGGTGGCGCTGTGAGACTAAAATACCTAATACATAATACCGTGTATCGGAACAAAACACGGCAGCATATGAAATAAACCATCTATTTACATTGAGGTATAGTACTAAATCCTCATAGCCTCAGAGTAAAAACCTCATACAAGGAGTATAATAAACTGAACAATAAGATAAACTTCCCCTTTATACAAGGAAAAGAGGCATCTTATTGATTTATTATTTGGCCACAGATCCATAAACACTGACAAACATGCACAGATACAGAAACACGGACACATGCACAGATACACACAAAGATACACAAACACTTACACACATACACAGATACAGAAACACTGACACACATGCACAGATACAAACACAGATCCACAAACACTGACACACATGCACGAATACATATACTGGCACACACATAAACCTCACTGCTAGTCAAACTCTGCTGTGTTCACCTTAAATGTCTGCCCTGATTTCCTGCAGGCCTCTCTGCACCCTTGCCTCCTTCTGTTTCATGACATGAAGCAATGGCAATGCTAATCCAGCCAGGAAGGGTTCCTTGACATGTGCAAGGACGAATGGCGTCAGCGGACCCCTAACCAGCTGGGGTCCTCCCTGGTACGAGCGCTGTTAGTTTTACTACTGCTCAAGGGAATAAAAACAGTTTAACATTAACTAGGTGGACAACATAAATGTATTATAGATACTGATTTAAAATCAAATATGCAAAAACTATACATTGAAAATATATATTAAAAAAAAAGATTATTTGGAACATTATCTGAAACCTCAAGCTGTTCATGTTTTCTGTACAAGGGTTCTGGGACCCGTATTTCAATTGTTCAACAGCTGAATTACAAAAGTGCCTAATGTACCAAGGGTGCCCTCTTAGAGTGCAACTGTAAAGTTAAACATGCTTTGGTGTTATGCTATAGGAATAAGACCAATATAACATTACCAAATATCCTGGCCATATTGTCAGAAAAATATAGAATAAAATGTTTTTCCACTATTTGTTTTTGTTTAGTTTTTTTTTTTTTGCTTCTTTACCTACAAATACTACTAATGGCTACATACCATATATCCTACTAATTGTGGAAAGCCAGGTATGTCACCTGGGAGCAAGATGGCTAGCTCACAAACCAATGTCAATTTATTATGCAGTGTAACATTATATATTTTCCCTTTACAAATACTCCACAATTGTGTTTGCACATTGGTCAATATGTGAGCATGGAGACACTGTATTAGTGCATCCATTTCCTTGACTCTATTGATTGAGTAACAAGCAATGTGTCATTCGATGACTCCCTTGGAGCAAGACTTGAATGCATTCACAACAAGCGGCAAAATATAGGCGGTGATTAATGCCAAGGCGTAGAAGTTAGGTTGTGTGAGGAGGGTTAAACCCTAACATCGATCTGGTACAAAGGTATTTTATTTTTATTCAAGTTAAAGATGTGAGAGATTTATATTAGGTATTTAGAATTTGGGAGAGTGTGTGATGAGTATATAGAAAGAGTGATTAATATGCAAGACACTTGGGATGTGCAGAACAATTCTATTTAGTATATAATGCAAGGAAGTTGTGCAAAATATTTAGCAGATTAAGAGTGTTTAATATGTAGGAGAGATGTTTATATAAGATAGTGTATAGTCTGGGACAGATGGAGAGTGTGTACGGTCTTCTGGGGCAGATGAAGAGGGTATATTGTCTTCTTAGGCAGATCAAGAGTGTGTATGGTGTTCTTGGGCAGATGAAGAGTGTGTATGGTCTTCTGGGTCAATTGAAGGGGGTATAAAGTATTCTGAAGCAGATTAAGTATTTATTGAGCAGGGGGAGATGGGGAGACTAATATTTATTCTAACCACATCAGAAAGGGTTGAGGAAGCAACCTTCAGGTAAGTATATCTTTGATGGTACCCAAAGATTCGTCTTCGGTGCTACCCACCCTATAAACTGTGCTTAAAACCATGTAATGAAGAATTAGTGAATAATCCAACAGAAAATGAAAAACTATATGTATTTTAATTCACTTGGATGACTGTACTGATGTAGTAATACACAAGGTTTTTCATAGACAAAATACACACAGGTATACAGTATATTGACAGAATGGTCTGGCATTGCATTCCTGGTCTGGGGGCAAGCTCAGTATAATTGTGGAGGCCAGGAGTCACCAGTGGCTCCAAGGATTCTGGGTTGTAAAGCTTTCTGCCATCAGTATCTGTCAGGTTGACATAAAAAGGATTATACACCCGTAAGTTTTTTTTCTGCCAGCGAAAACTGGGATCATATGACATCCTAATGAGCCATCAATGCCAAGACTTGTTGTGTTTGCAGCCAATCAAGTTGACTTTCTGCTGAGTTTTAATTTTCTGTGTATGTGCCACTGAGATAAACCCTGTCATTAACAAAATACAGAAATTACAGCCAATCAGAGCCCAGAGTTATTCTCAACAACCCTTTTCACATACTTGCTTAGAAGACTTCATGTGGAATAACATTAATTAGATAAAGATACACTCTGTTGCAATGTCATGACACCGTATCGGAGTCAAACAAGTAGATATATGTCAATAATGTAGAAATGCATAGTTTATTGGAAAACTACTGGCAATTCAACACTTTATGGCAAAAAGTTCAACAATACACTGATTATATGAAAAAAATGGTATTACAGATTTATTTTTTATCCAAGTCTAATTCAGGTGTTTTTAGTAATGATGATTTTTAACAGTTTCAGGATTTAAGTAAACAAGCAAACCAAAAACTAAATATACTTCATATTTTTAGGGAAGGGAGAGGAAGTGGATAAAGCCCCAAGTGCTAAAGCCACAAGTGGTGTTCTGAAAAGCCCCATGTCTGATTTTATCACCCTTTCATTGTTGGTCCAGAGCCCCCTGTACTATTGAGTGAGAAATTATACCTCCACTTATATCATTTGTGACAGTAATACTTTAATGCCATATATGGAGTTAATTATACAGCGCAGCGTGGGGTATTGCTGAATGCAGTGGGTGTAGGTTTAATTCTGCTAGATTAGAGTTGATGCTGCTTGACGTGGGAATAATGCAGCAGATGTGGGGTTAATACAGCAAGTGTGAAGTTTATAAATATAGGTTTGTATAATTCTCTAGATTGTGTCAATGACTTAAAGGGACACTCCAGTGCCATGAAAACAATCTGTTTTCCTGGCACTGCAGGTCCCCTCTCCCTCCCACCCCCCATCCCATGTTGCTGAAGGGGTTAGAACCCCTTCAGTGACTTACCTGAGACCAGCGCCGATGTCCCTCCTGCCCACACTCCTCCCCCGCCGACATCATCAGGCAGAGGAGACCTAATGCGCATGCGCGGCCGCGGCAATGCCGTGCACGCGCATTAGACCTCTCCATAGGAAAGAATGAAAAATGCATTTCAATGCTTTCCTATGGGGATTTTAGCGATGCTGGAGGTCCACACATAGCGTGAGGACGTCTAGCGACGCTATAGCACAGAAAACCTGGGCTATAAACCAGGAAGTGCCCTCTAGTGGCTGTCTACTGGGATCATATGACATCCTAATGAGCCATTAATGCCAAGACTTGTTGTGTTTGCAGCCAATCAAGTTGACTTTCTGCTGAGTTTTAATTTTCTGTGTGTATGTGCCACTGAGATAAACCCTGTCATTAACAAAATACAGAAATTACAGCCAATCAGAGACAGCCACTAGAGGAGGAGTTAACCCTGCAATGTAAATATTGCAGTTTATGAAAACTGCAATATTTACAGTTGCAGGGTTAAGGGTAGTGGGAGTTAGCACCCAGACCACTCCAATGGGCAGATGTGGTCTGGGTGCCTGGAGTGTCCCTTTAACATGGGAATCATGTCCTTAAGGGGTTAATATCATAATGTGATTCTGAGAACATGTTAAGGTTTAAGGTTGGATATAGGAGGTTATATGGGGTAGAGTTTAGGGAGGGCTTTTAAAATTTATCAGTGGGCTGAAACCCCTGATCATTTTGTCATCTACCAACACAAAAACCTGCTAATGGCTTGTACATAGTCACTGCTGTACCTCTATTCTTCTAGTCTTTTGCTGTTCCTTTAAAGTCAAAATCAACATTTTCTTGAACGCTGTAGTAAAACAGGGACCCATCATTTGATCAAGAGAACATGTATGATGAACAATGATCTAGACAAGTGTTACCCAAAACAATCCAAAGTGAACCATTAATGGTCCATCATATATGAAAAGTCCAAGTCTGTTCTTTTTTTTTAAATTCTTTATTTTGTTTGTGCAGCAAATTTGACAGCAACTGAGTCAACATTTTCATACAGTATTTACAAGATTTCGATTCACAGATGATTGAGATAGCGGAAAAATTACAATCTTGGTTATACATTCGATACATCTTACAAGTTGCATGAAGCAGAGTTATTGTTTTGCACATTTTTTTTGGTGTCTGGTTTGGGTGAACTGGGTAACTGGAGTGTGGAGTCACACTACTGCAGTACTTGAGAGTGGGGGGGATATAAGAGAGTTCGTGCTTATGATTGGTCTTCTTAGGTTCGCGTGCGTTTGTCGTGTGGGTTGGGTATTGTGTTGTTCGTCCCTGTGCGTGGGTTTGTCTTCTGTCTGGTGCGTGTTTTCGGGGAGCGGGCTATTTGTCACTGGCATAGTCCACGGACTACCTTCCGTGCTGTGTCTGGTGGGGTGTTCGAAGTTAGGGCGCAGTAGTGGTGTTGGGATTTCGTCTGAGACCTGGCTGTCTTGGGGTTGTGTCCATGCTGTCGGATGCGTCTGTTGTAGTGCATGGGCTGTCTTGGGGTTAAAGGTTGTGGGTGGTTTTGCTTTGTCCTGTGTAGGACTAGCTTCTTGTTGGTGTGGTATCGTGTCCACTAGTGCTGTGTTTTGTTCTTTGCGTGTTGTTATTTGGCTGGTGGGCGTGTGTGCCTGGGGTGCCCTGAGTGTTCCCGGGTCATGGGTTCCTAAGTTTTATGGTTTGCTATGGTGTAATTGAGATGAATTGGTGAATGCCGGGCTGTGGCGGAGTCCCGTGGCTTCCGCTATTGGGGTCGTTCATGCTGGTAATTTTGCGTATGTCTGTGGACATGGGGTGTGGATCTCTTATGGTGAAGTTGGTTTTTGGTGGTCTGTTTGTGCATGTTTGTGAGGGTTGTGGTATGAGTCCATGGTTTGGGGTGGGTGTTGGGTGTGGGGAAGAGACCCGGGGGGAGTATCGGATGGCGTAGAGTGGTCGAGATGTCCAAGTCTGTTTTAATGTTAATATTGATGGAAGCTGGACTTGAGGGATAGGTGAGGTATGATCTACAACAATGCTTCTGAAGGCCTGCTGATTGTATAGATAGTCACTTAATGAATCCCTAGACTAACCCTAGATCATTTCTTTACCATGGGGACTGTATTAAACGCAACTAGTCTAAACTATAGCAGGGTTAGCCAACAAGCAGAATTGCAGCGGAAATCACCAGTTATTTGACACAAACACTAGATCAGGGCTGTTTAAGAAGTAACATTCCAGATACGCTTCCCATTATCTTTATCCATTGTGAGAGCTGTATTGCAACAACAGATGGACGTCTACCTCTTGGCTATCCCTCATCTAGAGGTTTTGCAAAAAACTACTGAGTCCACTTGCATATAATGTGGTTTCTGTGGTATCTGCAGGGACTGAGGTTTGAGTAACTCGGAAGCCCATGTCAGTTTATTATGTATGGTAACATTATAGGATAAATTTCCTTTTACAAATGCTCCACAAATGTGTGTGCACATGGGTCAATATGTGAGCATGGAGACAGCGTATTAGTGCATCAATTTACTTGACTGTATTGATTGAGTAACGAGCAGTGTGTCATTCAATGACTCACTCAGTGCGGCAAGACTGAAATGCATGGAAAACAAGAGGGGATATAAAGGTGGTGATTAATGTGAAGAGGTACATGTAAAGGGATTTTTATGAGCTGGGGCACAGGTAATGGGTTTATAATATAGGGTGAAAGACATTTAGAATGTGTGAAGGCAAGTGGAGGGAATGTTTAATGTGCAAGAGAAGACTTGGAATTTTTTTTTTAATGTGCATAGGCAAACATAAGGTGAATTTAATGTGTAGGTTTGAAATGGAAGGAGTATTTAACATGCAGGACAAGATAGAGAGAATATTTAATCTGCTGGGGTAAATGTTGAGAGTGTTTAATATGTTGAGGTGTAGATGGAAGATTCATTAATGGACGGTGCTTGAAAGAAAGTTAATGCCACAGTACTTAATATGAAAAGTGGAGGGAATATAAGATGTCCGGATGCAGGTGAAAGAAGTATTTATACACAGGGTAGATGGAGTTAATGTTTAATGCAGCGGTTCTTAACCTTTTTTGGAAAGGGACCCAAAATTGCACATGTGGGTTATGCTTAGTGACTTTTCTTTTCATTTTAAAATACCTTAAATACATCGGAGATGGCAATTACATGGTAGCAGTAATCTAGGTTGAAAAAAGACTCAAGTCCATCAAGTTCAAGATAAAATATTTATTGAGGGTAGTTGTCTTGGACATGATGAAATCCACAGCATAGGAACTCAATTTTTGATTCCCAACCTAGGGTTTAAAAAACACTTGTTTAATACCTGGGTTAAATAGAGGGAATTAATGGAGTATAGGAAAATGTATTTAATATGCAGGGACAGATGGAGGGTGTTATTAATATGTAGTGTGTCAAAATGTAATGAGTTTTATTTTTGCTGGGGTAAATGATAGCAGTGTTCAATTTGGAGGGAGCAGGCCCGGACTGGCCGTCGGGCATACCGGGCAAATGCCCGGTGGGCCGCGATGGCCGTGGGCCGAGGCCAGCAGGGGAGATCACAGGATCTCCCCTGCCAGCCCATGCAGGGCCAGGGCTATCCGAGCGCCGGCCCTGCAGTGTGCCTTCATGGGCCGGTGGGGAGATCAAATATCTCCCTCACCGGCCTAGAGGCACTGATATGCGGCCGCCGGCTGGGGAGAGGACCTGGTGGAGCTCTAGCCAGCAGCTCTGCTGGGTTCCTCTCACACACACAGCACCCTCAGACGCACAGCACCCCCAGACACACACAGCACCCTTAGACACCCACAGCACCCCCAGACACACACAGCACTCAGACACACACAGCACCCTCAGAAGCACACAGCACCCTCAGACGCACAAAGCACCCTCAGACACACACAGCACCCTCAGACGCACACAACACCCTCAGACAGACACAGCTCCCTCAGACAGACAGCACCCTCGCTCACACAGCACACTGCCACACATATACAGCACACACACATATATATATATATATATATATATGTATATATATATATATATATATATATATATATATATATATATATACACACACATACATAATATATCAAATAACCCTCAGTGAGTTAACAGACAAAGAAAATTAGAAACCTAAAATGTGACGGCAGATAAAAACACCCTCACAAACAGCACCCCTCTTACACACACACACTACGCACCTCACACATACAATACGTCCAAATATATAAATATATACATATACACACACACACACACTACAGCACCCCTCACACTGCACCACTACACACATTACACTCCAGATACATGCTTGATCCCTTACCCTATATGCACTCTTACTCCTCTACACACACACACACACAATCTTCTATACACACTCTGGGTCCTTTACACACTAGATCTCCTACACACACACTGCACCACCTACACACACCACATTCCTTGTAAGCAAACACATACAACATTCTCTAAACACACCCTCTCTACAACCTCTACACACACTACGTCACCTATACACACACACTACAGCCCGTAAGCACGCACTCGCTACATCCCCTATAACACTATTCCCCTGTACACACACTCTCTACAGCCCCTAGCCACACATATTACACCACAAACACAAATGAAATTGACCTATACACAATACCACACCACACTCTACACACGCAATCCCACAAGCAGGCTCCAAACACATGCACCATACGCTTTCCTGGCCCTTTTGTCCTCTGGTATCCCAATTATGGAGACACCAGAGACAAGTAGCAAACAAACACAGCACAAGCACATTATTAAATTTGCTTGCGCTGCGCAGAACAAATACAGGGCCTTTTTCTCATGCTAGAGCTCTGCAGTGGGGCTCTGCACATTGAACTAACATGCTCACTTTGAGAGGGGGCGTGCTTGTCATTAGTGATGACAAAACACACACTCTCTGGCCCGCCCCCTTCTTAGGGGGCCGCTCTGATTGAAAAATGCCCAGGCCTAATTTTTTTCCCAGTCCGGTCCTGGGAGGGAGTGTGTCCTATGTAGAGCAAATAGAGGCAATATTTCAGATTCTGGAGCTGGTAGGGGCATACATTCTAGGGATGAAAATATGATTTTGCCTCTTTATAAATCGCTGGTAAGACCACACCTTGAATATGCTGTGCAATTTTGGGCACCTGTTCTAAAGAAAGATATCATGGCACTAGAAAAAGTGCAGACACGAGCTACAAAATTGATAAAAGGAATGGAGCACTTTAGTTAAGAAGAAAGGTTAAAAACTTTTAATCTCTTTAGTTTGGAAAAATGGTGCTTGAGAGGGGATATGATAACATTATACAAATATATTTGGGGCCAGTACAAACCATTATCTGGAAATCTATTTATAAACAGGGCTATACATAGGACACAAGGTCACGCATTTAGGCTGGAAGAAAGAAGATTTAATCTAAGGCAAAGGAAAGGTTATGTTACAGTTAGAACTATAAAGATATGTAATTCTCTGCCTGAAAAGGTGGTTTTATCAGAGTCCATACAGATGTTTAAACAGCAATTGGATAAATTCTTCCAAAAACATAGCATACACAGTGGCGGATCCAGGGGGGGGGCAACGGGGCAATTGCCCCCCCCGAGAAATCCGACAGTCTCCCTCTCCTGTCAGCACATGCAGGTGCCAGCCCTGCAATGTGCCTGCGGACCGGAGGGGAGATCACAGATCTCCCTCCCCGGTCCGCAGGCACTGTGCTGGCGGCCGGCGGGGGAGGGAGAGGGAGTGAGAGAGAGGACCCGGAGCTCAGGCTGCGGCTCCTCCGGGTCCTCCTCTCGCGAGATTTGGAGCGTTACCACGGCAACGCTCCAAATCTCGCGAGAGTGAACTCTAGCCCAGGAGCGCGGGCTAGAGTTCACTCTCCCCACTGGATTCCCCCACTGGACCACCAGGGAAATGTCCCCCCTCCCCCCAGTAAAGGTAAGAAGGGAGGGGGGACATAGAATATTTATATTAAAAATTCAAATAAAAATTATATATTTAAAAAAAAAAAGCCCCCCTACCCTTATCACACACACACACTTTACACACATACACTGCCCCCCATACACACACATTGCCTCCCATACTGCCCCCCCATACACCCATACTGCACCCCATACACACACTGCCCCCCCATACTGCCCCCATACACACACATTGCCCCCCATACACCCATACTGCCCC